CTCGCGGTCCTGAAACTTCAGGCTGCGGGAGAGATCCTCGTCGAACTCGAGCTTAAGTTGGACTTGGAGGCCGTCTCCTCGCTCGCACTGACACCGAGCTCCTCAGCCAAGGTGGCCGCTGCAGCCTTCTTGGCCTCTTCCGCCCTGGCGAATATCACTGGCTCATATTTCTCGAAAGCCTCGGCCTTTGAGAACTGCTGCTGCTGCTCGATGCTGTCGAACCGCTGCGCCCGCTCACGAAGCGGGTGGAGCCCCCTCAGGCTGATTCTGGGGGGCTGAGCTGCAGGTCCTGCTCGGACGTGTCGCTGTTGTGCTGCTGCGGCTCGTGCAGGCTCGGCCTGGCGACCACACCCGCACCGTGGCGGAGCCCTCCGGCGCGGCACCGTGCTCGCACCTGCCGCAGCCATGACCTCTGGACCATGGCTCGCCCACCCTCGACCGTTGCCACGTCGATGTGCCAACCGCCAGGCACAAATGTCAGCATGCCTGGACTGGATTGTGCGACGACCTGCCCCTCGAGCAGTCCCTTGGAGGCGGGGAGGCTCGGGCTCCGCCAGGCTTGATTGAGCCCACGTGGCTTGATGGGGAGGGAGAGGAGGGGACAGATGGAAGAGGGGAAGAGGAGGGATGTGGAAGGGGGAGGGAAGGGGGGAAGGGGAAGGTCGAGGAGGAAGAGGGGGGAGGGAGGGAACACAGAGATGGAGGGAGCCCCTTCCCGCTCCATCCTCAATCCTCCCGCCTGCTGCTGCTCCTTCTCCTACCCCTCCCTCTCCTCCTGCCCTTCCTCCTTGTACTCTTGTTGTGCCGTCCCCTGATCTTCTCAACCTCTCCTCCTCCTCCTCCTCCTCCTCCTCCTCCTCCTCCTTATCCCCATCGTCTTACCTCTTCGCCTCCTCTTCCTCCTCCTCATCCCTCTTCTCACTCCTCTAACCCACCAAGCATTGGAGTATAGCTGCTATCACTGGCTTGGCATCATGCTGCTCCTTATCTTCATCCTTATCCTTAGTTTCCATCGATCTTGCTTTAGCCACCTGGCCGCGAGCAGCGCAAGAATACATACTCACGCGCCACAGCATGAAGCGGAAGGTGGACACATCCACAAAACGCCACGGGCTTCTCGAGGTCGCGGAGGGGCCGCGGATCCGTGCAATCAAGCACACGACAGCGCCAGCTCCAGCTCCACCACAGCGCCGCCTTCGCTCCAGCTCCGAGGGGGACCTCACGGAGGCTCGGAGGCGATGCCGTACTCGCATGTACCGTGGCAGGGCGTCAACTGTCTTGCCGTGGGCAGCGCAAGAGGCCCAGCCGGGTCCACGCCGCAAAGCTTTTCTCCCAGAGCAACGGCCGAGCGACGATGGCTGCACTGCCCGCGAGCCGCTCGTATCTCTGTTGCCTCCTTGGCGATCTTGCCCTGCGGCGTGCCGCGGAGAACCACAAGCCGAAAGGACGAATTTGAAGCCACAGTGCAGGTGCGAAAGAATGAACCCTGAAGCCGAAAGAACGAAAACCAGATGCGGAAGAATTTGCAGCCAAAAGCCGCACTCTCTGAAGGCCTGAGTGCCCGCGCGTGTAGCGATGCTGGCACGCGGGGGCCGTCAACATCTCCTTCCGACTCCGGGTGCATGCCTGCACCGACACGTGTGCCGTTGGCTCGGCTGGGTGCCCCAAGTCTGCAGCTGTGGGGAACGAGCTGCGCGAAGCTTTACCACGGACGCCGCGTCTGTGTCTCAAGATTATTGGGGGGAAGAGGAAGAGGAGGAGGAGGAGGAGGAGGAGGAGGAGGAGGAGGAGGAGGAGGAGGAGGAGGAGGAGGAGGAGGTTGAGGCAACGACCAGGCGCCGCCCCTCGACCGAGGATTCCGCTGAGCACAGGTGGCCAGCTCACCGACACGCGATGCGCCCGGCGCGAGGTGCAGCACAGGAGCAGAACTCACCGCGACGTTCGCTCCTTCTCCTCCTCCTCCTCTCCCCTCCTCCTCCTCCTCCTCCTCCTCCTCCTCCTCCCCCCCCCTCCTCCTCCTTCACCGCCATGGCGCACCTCAGCCCCGCCTCACCTTGGGGAACATCGAAAGCACGCGCGGGCGCCCGTGCCCGGCGTGTGGCCCGTCGAGCAGGCGCCGGAAGCCGGTGGCCCTTGCGTGTATCGAAGCCGGCCGTCCTTCGCAAGCGCCCGTTCACCCAACGTCGGGGCTATGTCCAAACCTCAAGCCAGTCAAACTCGGCCTGCGGCACCCCAATTCATCACGTAAAAAACCCAGGACAAAAAACTTCCTGGAGAATCATAGCCGAACAGGCCGTGTAATGTCACCAGATGGCGAGCTCATCGTACCAAGCAACCCCTTGTCTTCAGCAATATCATCTATATTTAATTACGGTGAGGCTTCCTGGTGCCAGAGTGAGAAGTGCTCCTGATGTCACGGTGGTGGATCAACCATGGACAAACACTTCAGCGACGACGGCTTTCAGCGCATGGAGATAGAAACGATACTCCAGTATACATGAAGTCCGAGGGGGTGACGGAGAACATCTAAGTTGTCAGGCCAAGCTACGTGAATCGTATGACCAACGACGATAAGATCAATGTCACAGCAGTCAGCCGCCCCCATGTGCACGCAAACGTTCCGAATCCATCGGACGGTCAAGTTCTACTCCCGAGTCGACTCCACACCCCCTTGCTTGACCGACCGCGTCAAAGAAAAGTGTTCCGAGACAATGCTGCGAATAGCGGCAATTGCTGCCAACCCGAGCGCCTTGTCCACAAGCACGGCCACGAGCATTGGGGGAATCAGCCAATGCAAGAAACCGTCGGGTACAGCATCCAGGCTGAGCCTGTCGAAAGTCGTCTTTGCATCAACGCTTACCCTCATCCTCCTTTTCCCTCTCCTGCTCCTCCTCATCCTCCTCCTCCTCCGCCTCCTCTTCCGCCTCCTCCTCTTCCTCCCTCCTTCTCACGGCTCCTGGATCCACCATCGTTATCCTTCGCTGCGACGAGCCAACTGGGCCTTCACAGTGATTGATGAAGCAGGGCGAGAAAAGTATGCTTGTCTCGGGCCGCTCCCCCGTCAGCAGGGCAGGCAGAGCATATTTCTAGAGGAGCTGTGGGCGATCGTCGTGGCGTTGCAGGTCGCCATTGCGCCGATCAACATCCACACAGACTGCTCCAACATTCTGAAGGGAGTGGAACGCGTAGCTGAGTGGCGCACGCGGCCTGAATCGCATTCGGCTGATCTCTGGCACCGCTTCTGGCATCTTGTCCAAGAGTTAGGCGGCATTTCGCCGGAGAGCGTAAGCCTGACCAAAGTGAAGGCCCACGCCAAGTCTGCCGCGAGGCGGGAAATGGGGCGATGCATATTTGAGGGCAACGCTACCGCAGGCAAGCATGCGAAAAGCGGAGCCGCGTCTGTCCAACACCGCGAGAGGGAGCAGCAGCCATACGAGGCCCGCTACCACCCACTTGGTGCAGGACATTTGGGAGTTCCATGCCCGCCTCGGAGCGCCTGGCCGCGAGGCGAAGGACACAAAAAAAACAGGGCATGTCGTTCCGGAGGTGCTGGCAGGCCGAGCAGCGCCTGACCCCCTCCGCTGTGCCCGACCCGCCAGCGGCCAGTGCGCCGCCTGCGGAGGATCGGGCATTCCTGAGACAGCTGGATCGGGACAAGGGCCACCGACCTGCAGTCAGGACAGGAACAAAAAACACGCTTTCTGCAAGTACTGTTGCAGCTTCGCGCAGGAGCAGTGGCATGGACTTGCTGCCAAGGCGTGCGTGCCTGCCAACCCGCGCACGGCCAGTGGTAGATTGAAACGACTTTGGGGTGGAAAGCACCCTACGACAGGGAAGCCTTTCACTAGATTTTGGTGTGGGCGTATCCCCAGCGGCGTCGGTCGTTGGTGGAGAGGTGATGCCCATACTTCTGGCCAGCTCTGCTCTTGCGTGCGAGCTTGCTTCATAGACCGAATAATCCCAAATTAGTTTTCCTCCTCCTCCTCCTGCTCCTCTTTCACCTGGCGTCGCCCCTCAGACATGGCTCCCAGACACCACTGCAAGAAGGGCAATCATGACAACCATCGTGAATACATGGGCCAGACACCCCTAAGGCTATTCGATTATCCAATTGACTCCTCCCTCATCTTTTGTCCGCTCCCACGGCAATCGCTCGCATATGCAATTTCGTGCGCCTGCCTGGTTCCTCGTGCGCTTGTCGTCGCGTTCCGCCTGCCCTCGAACGTCCACCTCCTTTTCGCTTTCGGTATTTTATACACGTCCGTCTTCTCCTCCCCGTCTTCCCGTCTCCAGAACCACCTCCTGCGCTCCCGCTGGACTCCTGCCTCTCCTCCTGCCCCTGCTGGGACAAGATCGGCACGCAATGGATGCATGCACACATCGTCGACAGGCGCACGCCCTCACCCTCTGGATGCTGCGCCGCCGCCGCCAGCGACGCGCCCCCGCGCGGCACGGGACGTGGGCGCGGTGGGCGCACAACCGCTCTCCTGCCTCTGCAGCCTGCCGCTCATTGCCGCTCTGCCCCTGCTCCTGCTCCTCGCCCACACCCCTCCCGCCCTCCTCCTCCTCTCTCCTCCTCTCTCCTCCTCCTCCTCCTCCTCCTCCTCCTCCTCCTCCTCCTCCTCCTCCTCCTCCTCCTCCTCCTCCTCATCGTTCTCCTCCTCCTCCTCCTCCTCCTCCTCTCCTCCTCCCTCCTCCTCCTCCTCCTCCTCTCCTCCTCCTCTCTCCTCCTCCCTCCTCCTCTCTCCTCCTGCTCCTCCTCCTCTCTCCTCCTCCTCCTCCTCCTCCTCCTCCTCCCCTCCTCCTCCTCCTCCTCCTCCTCCTCCTCCTCCTCCTCTCCTCCTCCTGCTGCTGCTGCTGCTGCTGCTGCTGTTGCTGCTGCTGCTGCTGCTGCTGCTCCTCCTGCTGCTGCTGCTGCTGCTGCTGCTCCTGACCACTGTGCTGTACCCACGAAGCGGCGCCGCAGGCCAGCGGCCCCAGGAGCCCTGCGCCCCGCGGTCCTCCAAGGCGTTGCCTGTGCGTCGGGCAGCGTCGGAGGGGAAGGCGGGAGGGCGCAACGCTGCCTGAGAACTGCAGGCGATAGCAGGGATCGACCGAAATGGGGGGCCCATAGATTGTACACCACCAGCAGCACCTCCCTCACCCCCCCCTCTCCCAGGAAAGAGGAGAGGAAGAGGAGGGTAGAGGAGAGAGGAGGAATCGACGCGGTGGTGGTGTATATTCTTTGGGTCCCCACTGAACAGAGTTTTACGTTTGTGTTTTGTGCTCATGTTCCCTAATTTTGTCGTCAGTAACGCCTCTGCTGCAAAACAAAATCGAAACGAAAACGGCCCGCCAAATCGCCAACACACCGTGCAGGCTGACCCCGGGGCGATAGGCGCAACGTGAGTGAACGACTCCGTGCTGCACTTCAGCGCTCACGATTTCACAACGCTGTGCCCGTCCAAAGGCTTTTTCTGCTGAGTAAGGACGAGGAAGGCGGGAGGGCGCAAGCCTGTCGGAGATCTGCCTGCCTACCAGACCACCCCGATCTACTTAACCCGAAGACCCGAATTTCGGGTTGGGGGTGGGAACGGGTTTCGCATGTGTTTTATCAGTGTTCCCCGACCCACCCCCCCCTGGGAATGGAAGGCAAATTGGGGCCTTCGGGCTGGGTTGGGGTGGTCTGGTGGGTGATGAAGAACCACAGGCGATAGACGCCACGTGAGCGAACGACTCCGTGCTGCACTTCAGAGCTGAGTTGTGCGTCGATGGAGGCTCACGGAATTTTGCGACCCTGTGCCCGTCCAAAGGCTTCCTCTGCTGAGTGAGGACGGGGAAAGTAAATCCCACCACCTGTGGACATACAAAAAGGCACTCTATGCGGAGGCCGCCGGGACCGACCACAAACCAAAATGAAAGCAAGGCGCCAGGAACAGGGAGGAGGAAAGACCACAAGCAAGAGGACAAAGAGGCTGGAGAGTGGGCAGCGTGGTTGCCAGAAACTGCGATCACACGCTTCGGCTGCATACAACCCTGGCCCAAACCGAGAGAAAAGAAACACCGGCCACTAGGAGAATGCGGCATGACCGATGGGGCCACAAAGCGCTGTACTGGGTGGGGGAACCGCATGCGAACACCGCCTGTGAGGCCTTCGGTGGAGCTCCCTATGGGGCCACGATTCGCTGCACTGGGTGGGGGAACCGCATGCGAACACCGCCTGTGAGGCCTTCGGTGGAGCTCCATATAGGGCCACGAAACGCTGTACTGGGTGGGGGAACCACATGCGAACACTGCCACTGAGGCCTTCGTTGGCTGTACCGGGTGGAGGAGCCGCAAGCGAGCACCTCAAATGGTTCACTGGCGCGGAGGGCAGAGGCAGGGATAGGAGGAGGGAGGAGGGGGAGGGAGAGGAGAGGAGAAGAGAGGAGAGGAGAGGAGAGGAGAGGAGAGTAGGAGACGTGGGGCGCTGTCTCTTCAAAACGAAGACCCAACACCACAGGATGGTTGGGAATAAGGAGTCTCCACCTCGAGACACACGTAGCAAGCTGCACAGAACGGTCGTCCTCTATTCTCTGCTGCCCTTTTTCTCCAGGCCGTTCCCGCCTCAACGCAGAAAAACGTTGGACAAGCAAGATGGGAAGCGAACAAGCGAGCTGCCCTAAAGGGTAGTAGGACAAATTAGGGCAGGAATATAACGGATCAGACGGAAACATCAGATAATGAAGAAGAACAGGAGGGGCAGGTTGGGGAGAAGGGAGGAAAAGAAACAACAGAAGAAGGGGGGAGGAGGAGGAGGAGGAGGAGGAGGAGGAGGAGGAGGAGGAGGAAGAGGAGGAAAAGGAGGAGCAGGAGGAGGAGGAGAAGGCGGAGGAGGAGGAAGAGGAGGAGGAGGGAGGATGAGCGGTCGAATAAGGAGGGTGAACCTCGGCGAGCGATGGGAGGTCGCCTGTCTTGTCGCCTGTCGCCTGGAAGTGGGAGCACAACTTCAGCAAGCGCTCGAGCGACCGCACGCTCTCCTGCCCGCCCTCGCCCGCACGATCCCCACAGAGCCGTGGCTGACACCATGGGGCGGCAGCATCGGCTGCGAGTCATGCTATTGCTCCGCCTCCTCCCATTGCTCGTCCCCTCCCCTGCCACCACTGGCGATCAGAACGAGATCGAGACACCGTTGACCCCTTCGTGAGCCAAACCCTGCCAGAAGAGATACGTCGTAGTGCTGCCGTTCCTGACCTGGCAACGCAAGTGGTCCACGAACGTGGTGTCGGCTGTGCGAGGGTATGCTTCGAGATCGTCAAGGTCGAGGCCATACGTTCCTGGTGCAGGGCAGTCTTCAACACATAGGATCCTTTTAGAACGTATGAGCTTGAATGCATAATTAAGGTGTGAATGCATTTATGCATGAGCTCATCGTTGTTTTTAAAACTGAAGCCCTGCATTTTTAAGACACGATCCGCACGCGGAGCATGTATCAAAAACGGCACTGCACTCCCCCATGGGAGCGCGGGTCCACTCGAACCTCGGCGCGTGGAGGCCGCTGGGCACCCCAACGGGCGCTCCCACCGGAGCGCCAGGCTTCGGAGGAGCAGCGCAGTGTGCCCTCTCTGCGGGCGCGGAACGGACACGGCACCGCATCGGCTTCGGCGCTCCGAGCCATGCGCCGAAGAGCGAGCCTGTCCGTTATATGCAGCCCTGTTCGGCGAGGGGGGGAAAGGGAAAGACGAGCAAGCACGGACATGGATCGCCACGGCCTCAACGGTAAAACGAGCCTGCGGGGTCCTCACGGAATCTGGAACGGTCTTCTTCGCGGAGGATAGGGTCGTTCATCTTGAGGGGTCGTGGCCCGTGATTATGGCCTCTAGTGGGGCCACGATCCAAACTAATCGAACATGTTCGCCTGACCACGGTTGCATTAGGGAATCAGCTCTCTATCGGCTGAAGCTGTTTCAAGCATCACGTCCCCGAACGTTCGAGGGCTGATAGGGGTATGTGTCAGGTCTCGGAGGATGGCCCGCCCGCCACCCCCCCGGGGAGGAGGAGGAGGAGGAGGAGGAGGAGGAGGAGAGGAGGAGAAGGAGGAGGATGAGGAGGAGGTGGAGGAGGAGGAGGATGAGGAGGAGGTGGAGGAGGAGGAGGAGCAGGAGGAGCAGGAGGAGAAGGAGGGCGAGGAGGAGGAGAAGGAGGAGGAGCAGGAGTACTGTGCTCGGTTGTCGGACGGATGTATGCCCCACTCCTGCAGACTGCCCCAGCGGCCGAGTTTACAGCCCTGGGCCCTGGTCGTGCCTCGCTGTAAATCGACGCGGCGAGCGACGTGATTTCAAACTGCTGGCTGTTTGCTCACGTGTACTGCTGCCAAGGGTGAGGGCTATACTCCCAACGAAAGTAGTAGACAGGCCTGTTTCAGAATGTCAATAACGGCGATGAGATTCGGAAGTTGCTCCATGCAAGCGCCTTGGATCCAAACGCCTTAACTGCGATGCGGCCGACGGCAGCGGCAATGTCACAGCCGTGCTCAAGCGCGCGGACGGTACCGATGTTTTCCTGTGGCTCCATTTGTGAAACCTTCCTTCGCCAAGGGAGCTCTGCCAAGAATTACCTCGCTGGCCCGCACGCGCAGAAGCTCTGCCGCCACGGGAACACCGCCTTCGACGCGGCTATGAAATAGCAGGACCACCCTGGTCGATCGGACATGTACACATATGTAAGACATCGAACAAACAAGTACGCGCAAGCATCCTCATCCACGCGCGCGCCCACAGAAGGAGGAGGCGCCTTCGAGGCTGAAGCGGGAGCCCGTCGCAGGCGTGGGCCGCAACCTCTGCGGGCCCAGGCGCCCCCTGCGGGGGGCGCGTGCGAGCCCCGCGCCACGCGGGGGACGTGGCCCCGCGGCGGGCGCCGAGGATGCGGCGGAGGAGAAGGGCGACCGAGCAGCCACGTGTGCTGCCATCCTGACTCGAGGACCTCTGCGGTCTGAGTGCGCCTCGAAGGCGCATCCTCATCCCACCACCCCCAGATGTTGCCCACGCGCGCACCTCACAGCAGGCTCATCCCACCGCCTCCAGATTCGGGGATGGACAGACCCCCCTTTAGTAAAACGTGGTTTAGTGAAAACGACCTGGGGCCCAAACCTGGCGGGCGCAAGCCTGGAAAACAACGGCCACGGTACCCTCTCGAGAACCGAAAACGGACTACTCACTAATCGACGTGCCACTGTTGGGGGTACTGTCCACCCCCGACAGATGCTGCCCACGCGCGCACCTCGCAGCAGGCTGGCACGGAGCCTCCCTCCGCAAGTGGGGCAAGAGACCACCCGCGGCCCGCCCCGTGCGCGGCCCCCGACGCCTGCCTGGCCAGCGGCTCGTGGTCGGTCCACGGATCCCCACTCGCTCCCCCGCGTGCCCGCGCCCTCGGTCCTCCTCTTTCTCGCTCGCCCCCCGTGGTCCTCCCCCCGCGTCCCTGCCCCGTCCTCCCCCTCCCTCCCAGCGCTCCGCCTCCAGCCTCGCCCCCGCGCCCCCCCCCCCCCCCCCCTCCCCCCGTTCCCCCCCGCCAGCACCACCCCGCCCGCCTCTCCCCTCTTGCCCCCCCCTCTGCCCCTCCTCCTCCTCCCTCTCCTCCTCCTCCCCTCCTCCTCCTCCTCCTCCTCCTCCTCCTCCTCCCCTCCTCCTCCTCCTCCTCCCTCCTCCTCCTCCTCCTCCTCCTCCTCCTCCCTCCTCCTCCTCCCCTCCTCCCTCCTCCTCCTCCTCCTCCTCCTCCTCCTCCTCCTCCTCCTCCCCTTCCTTCCTTCCTTCCTTCGCTTCTGGCGGTCGCACGTCGCCGCGGGGCCGAGTCTCGCGCGAGACGACGCAGCGACCTCACGCCGCGGCTTCCGCGGGGCGCCAGCGCGGCACGCCACATTGGAGACGAGGGCGCTCACGCGCGACCTTACGCGGGCAGCTTGCGCGCTAGTGTCCCCGCAGACGGCCCCGGGTCCTTCCGTCGCTCATGTGTCGCCGCCTAGCCCCTGCCTTCTCCTCCGGCCTTGTCCGCCTAACCCCCCGCCAGGCCGCACGGTCGGGGGGCCTAGAAATCGTCGCCTGCGGCCCACACGTCGCCGCCTGACCCCAGAGCAGGGCGAGTTGAGACAAGGGGCAGCTCAAAATCGGCCCCCGGACACCTTCCGGGGTCCAGATGCACCAACTCTCCGAGCCGCGCCCAGCCGTAGCGACGAGGGCCTTCCGAAGTCCAACTGCCGCTGTCTCGCTCAACTCGCCCTCCTCTGATGATCTCCTGCCTTCTCCTCCTGCCTTCTCCGCCCACCCCCCGTCCTCGGTCTTGAACGCCTCGGGGCTACCCAGGTCTGGCGCGTCGTGCACCTACCGCGGCCGCCCCCGCCAGGACCGCCCCGCTCGCGGGCCGCGCCTGTGCTGGTGGCCAGCGTCCGCGCTCGCACCGTGCGCAGGGCTCCCCCTCCTCCTCGTCCTCCTCCTCCTCGTCCTCCTCCTCCTCGTCCTCCTCCTCCTCCTCCTCCTCCTCCTCCTCCGCCTCCTCCTCCTCCTCCTCCTCCTCCTCCTCCTCCTCCCTCCTCCTCCTCCTCCTCCTCTCCTCCTCCTCTCCTCCTCCTCCTCCTCCTCCTCCTCCTCCTCCTCCTCCTCCTCCTCCTCCTCCTCCTCCTCCTCCTCCTCCTCCTCCTCCTCCTCCTCCTCCTCCTCCTCCTCCTCCTCCTCCTTATATGCGACCTACGCGACCCATGCGAGGCCAGCATGCCCACGGGAAACAGCTGGCGCGCTCGTGGGCCCTCTCAAACCCTGGCCGTCGCCGAGGGTAGGGGCGCGACATCTTATGTTTTTCCCCCTCCTCTTCTTCCATACCTGTGTCCCCCACCCCAGTACAGCCATCCGCCTAATTCTCCACCTCCACCTCCTCCTCCGCCCAAGCCTGCTCCTCCTTCATCTTCCTCCTACTCCTCCTCCTCCTCCTCCGCCTCCTCCTCCTCCTCCTCCTCCTCCTCCCCTCTCCTCCTCCTCCCCCTCCTCCTCCTCCTCCTCCTCCTCCTCCTCCTCCTCCTCCTCCTCCTCCTCCTCCTCCTCCTCCTCCCGATTCGTCTGAGGTTTACTGCTTTCATTTTTCCCCACCTTTCTGCCCCGACCCTACGGCCGTGCCCAGCCTTTAAAGCGGGGGGCGCACCAGCCGTGGTAGGGGGTGGGCGGGAGCATGCGTGCACCGAGTGCCACGCGGGATGACATTATACACATCGCCGCGCCCTCTAGAAGCGAGCCAGCCCTGGAAATCTTCTGTGCTTGTTTTCAGATGCCCCGAGGGGGGTGCGAGTCTAGCTGACACGCTTCTGCAGAGTCGTTCGTTCGTTCGTTCTCCTCCTCCTCCTCCTCCTCCTCCTCCTCCTCCTCCTCATCTGCTCAAGTTTCCCATCGTGCCTCCACCGCCCCCTCCTTTTTCAGGGTCGGATTTGCACCAGTGGCCGCGTGATCCGAATGCTAATTATATAGACCGAGGAAATAATATTGAAGGGCAGATGTATACGTGAAGCGGAAATACCCAATGGAGGGGGAGGGGGGCAGAGATCGGGAGTGTATGGGGCGAGGTGGAGGTGGTCAGAGAGGGGGGGTCTAGTTGCATGCTCCTCTACTCCCTTCATTCCCTCCCTCTCCCCCTCCCTCTCTTCTGTCTTCTCCCCCATCCATCCTCTCATCTCCTCCCTTGCTCCACTCCCCCACTCTCCCCCCTTCTCTTCTCTCTCCCCGTCCTCCTCCCTCCCTTTGTTTTTTTCCCATCTGTCCTCTCCTGATGACGTCCGGAAGATGTCCAGCCCCCTTCCGCGTATTGTTTTTGACACACACGATTCCCGGGAATTGGCTTTTCGTTTGGTTTGTTTGAAAATGTTGTTCTCGCTGAGGCGCTGGCCTCAGCTTCGGGCTTCCACTCGTTCCGAATCGTGTTCCCGCTGCAACGCTGGCCTCATGTCCGTGCTTCCGCTCGTTACGAATCGTGCTCCCGCTGCAGCGCTGGCGCTCCTTCCAAATAGGCCCCAAAATCTAAAAACTGCCTCCCCCCCCCCCCCGAAAAAACCATCGGCAGCCCCCCCCCCACTTTGGGGCGTCGTCGTTTTCAAGAAATATCAAGCGGGAGTCTCGTTTGTGCTTTGAGACGCCGATGTTGAAAACAGAGCCAGCGGGTGCTCTCCATCAGCCCCGCTTTGTGTGGAACTTCTCAGGGAACCCAAGGAGCTAGACGTGGAACCGCGACTCCAGACCAGCCCAGACCTCTCGAAAACGATCCACTTACCCTCCAAAGAAAGTGGCGCCATGCCATAACATGCTGTGCGGTGTTGTGTTCCGCGCCGCTGTGCGATGCCATGCTTTGCGCTGCAATGTTTTGTGATGCAACGCCTCACTGCGCAATGGCATGCCATGCGATGGCATGCTACGTTCTGCCGTGCTCTTCTACGCCATGCCATGCTGTGCTCTGCCATGCATCGCGTACCCGCTCGCGATCATTGCCCTGGTCGACATCCGACGGTGCGAATAGAGAGGATACCTCCGTCATGGTCAGGGATGGGAGGGGAGGGCAGGACGTCAGATATGACGCGAGCGCACCCAATTTGCATTCCCTCCCCTCCCTTCCGTCCCCCTCTCCTCCCTCGCTTGCTTACTCTCCTACCCCAGGTCCCCTCCGCGTCGTCGTCCCTCTCTCCCTCCCGCTCCCCTCCTTCCCCTGCCTGCTTCCTTTCCTCTCCCCTTATAGCCCCGAACCAGCCAGCAAAACGCACCTCCAGTCGCGCTCCACACGGAGCAATGGGCCCAGCCTGGACCGACCAGAACAGGAGCCAGGGGCAGGATGCCGAAACACACGATTCCCATACCGTGACGGTCTTCGGGAGCCCGAACCCCATAAGAGACGACCGAACAAGTTCTGCATGTCCAGGCGCTGTTCATGTGCTGCCAAGGATGCGGAAGAGACGGAATTCTGCCCTGCTGCTGCTGCTGCTGCGAACGGCTGCAAGAGACGACGTCTGTCGCCGTGCAAGCCTGTCCTGCCACCTCCCCACGGCTAAACCCTGCGGGGAGGTGGGGGCGCATGAAGGAAAAAGGAGTTCTGCCATGGCCAGTCTCTCGCTCCCTGACGACGTCGGGACCGAGCTTAAGCGGCGGCCACTGTGGCAGGAGACTGGCAGCAGGAGGGCCCACGGCCCTCGCAGCTGCGACTTGGCCATCGAGAAGCTCTCGGTCACCTGAAGCAGCTCTGGGGTGCGAGTCTGCGGCAACTTGGGCAGAGAGGTTCACTGAATTGTCACCTGGTCTCGAAAAATGGCCACGGTCGTCCTCGGAGTCATCGGGATGTGTATGGGCCCGAACCTTGTTGACAGCAAGGGGCGGCAAGTTAGAGCGAATGACCTGGGCACACCCTGAATATAAACGCTTGTGGGAGGTCCAGCATAATCGACAAGGTTCTGGCAGTCAGAGCGCACTGCACGGGAGGCCAAACTAGAGCACTGATGCGTTCGTACCATATCCTATTTGGCATGAGGGTCGCAAAATAACCGCCCATCCAGCACGGGAGAGATCCGTCACACGGTGGCGCAAGCAAGACCCCATCGACTACTGCTTGGCCAGCAAGGTCCCTGTAGAACACGAGATTCTGGTACCCCTCACAAGCCCGCCACAGTGCCGCTGGCCACGGAGTGGGCGTGTCCTCAGGTCCTTTGCTAAACCCTTTAACTATTCCGGAATAGTCTTTCAGGGGCCCAGGCCCCAAATTCTCAAATCTCTCTGGGCCTATCGCTGTTCCCTCGAGGCTTACTGCGTGCCCCCTGGGCTCCGGGAGGTCTTATCGCATGACTTTTTCGGGCACGAGAGGGCCCCAAGACGGGCCAAGAGGGCCCACGAGGCCCCCAAGACGGTCCCAGAGGGCCCCGAGTCGCCGAAAGATCGCTCCAAGACTCCCAAGATGGCCTCAACAAGGTGGCTCAAGAGGCCTACACGACGCCCCGGGAGGCCTCCAAGAGGCCTCCCAAGAGGGACCAAAACGGCAAACATCATTGATTGTCCTTGGGGTTTTGAAGGATTTGGGCGTTCTCGCCTTTTCTGTTTTCCGACGCTCCAAGACGGCCAAAGAGACCCGCACGATCACCCCAAAACGGTCCAAGAGGCCTCCAAGAGGGCCCCAAGACGGTATACGAGCACCCTAAGACGGCCCAAGAGAAGAAGTCCCAAGAGGGCCTCAAGACGGCCCCAAAAGGGTCCAAAGAGAGGGAACACGAACCGAAAATCCGAGCCTTCTGCCCCAAGAGGCCCCCAAGAGGCCCCAAGAGGCCCCCAAAAGACCCAAAAGAGGCCCCAAGAGGCCCCACAACGGCACCCAAGAGGCCTCAAAACTGCCTCCACGAAATCCCCACGAACATCTAATATGCTTCATACCCGCAATCCAGGCGCGGTGGCAGGATGGGCGGGAGGCCATCAGATATCGGTCACCAATCCTTCCTGAAACAATGGCTGGGGAAATCGCTCAGCTGGATGAGGTATGAGACCGTAGCAAGCAAGAGTGTCATCAGCCTCAACAGCCCATGACCTCGGCAGGCACTAACTTGTCCCTAAGCTCGCGACAAGCTGCGCGGCGCCCACACCAATGTCGAAGGGTATCCTCAACAAGCTGGCATGACTAACAAACCGCGTCGACAACATACTCTGAGGAGGGAGTTGTTTGGGTCCTGGCGTAGAGAGCACTACCAAAACAACGGACGGACACTGCCCTCTTGAAACGGGATCAGCTTCGCAGATTTCGATCACGAGAGGACCCCAGCCGCACAGACACGGCCCGTGTTGAAACGGGGCCCAAGGTTCCACTCGAGGATCCTGGCCAACGCACGGGCAACAAGGAAAACACCACAGCACTCCCCCCCGCCGGATGGCAGCAGGGCCCGGGGCCTCGCCGCAGACGGGGAGCCCCTGCTGCGGGACACCCGCGACGAGGTCGGCGAGGACGGCGAGGGCGACGCCGGTTGACGGTCTCCCTCGGGTGGGTCCAGCCCCCGCGTGCCAGGCAGCGTCGAAAGCGGCGCAGTCAACACGGCAACGCCTGAAGTGAGCATACCTCCGACGACGAGGCCGGCGAGGCCGGCGAGGACCGGGGCGAGGGCGGCGAGGGCGAGAGGCGAGCCGCCTGGCCGAGGTACAGGGCCCGCTCGGCCGGCGTGTGGTGGACCACGACCATGTGCTCCTGCCGGGCGGTGACCCGCCGGCGCCGCCGCCGTCGCGGCGCCGCCCCGCGGACGCTGCCCCCGAGAGGGAGCGGGGTGGGGAGGGAGCGGGGTGGGATCGGAGGCTCGGGGGCGGGGGCAGGACGAGAGAGAGGGTGGCGGGAGCCGAGCCAGGAAGCGAGCGGCAGGAGAGGGAGAGAGAGAGAGCGGGAGGGAGAGAAAGAGAGAGAGAGAGAGAGAAAGAAAGAAACAGAGGCCGAGAGAGAGGGAGAGACGGTGAAAGAGAGGAGCCCGCCCTCCCCCGCATGACGGGAGCAAAAAAAACATGAGATGCTTGGCTGCCTCCGCTCAACCTTGCAGCCACAGGGCCCATTGCAAGTGGTTGCCCCCAAGGCACACGCTGGTCCCATTGCCACAGCTGGTGGCTTCGAGCTGATGCGTCTCAATCAGCAGCGCCACTGCCCACTGCCACTGCCCACCCTTACCGAACGAATTGATCCCAGCGCTGCAGCTAGTGACTTCGGGTTTCAACCTCGCCTCCGCATCTCCCTCGGCCGCGCCAAAGCCAACTGCCACTGCCCGCCCCTCTCGCGTGCGCTGGCCCTGCCGCTGTAACGGATGACGCTGGGCTCCATGTTCGCATGCCTCATCTCGCTGAGAAGCGCCAGAGCTCGCTGCCTCTGCTCGCCCTTCTCGCACAAACACATCCCAGCTTCCTACCTGATGGCCCAAGCCCGCTGCCACTGCTCGCCTTCTCGCTTGGAGCTTGTCCCAGAGCTGTAGCTGAAGACGCTGGGTTTGATTTTCGCCTCCACCATCTCGCTGAGCAGCGCGAAAGCCCGCTCCCACTGCTCCCCATTCTCGCACGCGCTGACCCCTTCGGCCTCGAGCTTCCCCTCCATCATTCCGCTGAGAAGCGCCGAAGCGCGGCCACACTGCTTGCCCTTCTCGCACGAGGTAATGCCAGCACTGCGGCTGAGTAGGGCTGACCCGTGGACTCCGTCTACGTCGACCAGCGTGTGATTGGTGCTGCGTGTTGCTTAAGACTGTTTGCTGCTAGTGTTGCTTGCGAACAAATCGCCTGCTTGCATTTGTTTGTTGCTTACTTGCTGCTTGCCAGCTCGCTGGTTTGCTTGCTGCTTGGTGTTTGCTGATTGTGTGCCTTCTTGCTTGCTTGCTTGCTTGCCTGCTGGCTTGCTAGCTGGCTGGCTGGCTGGCGTGCCTGCTGCTTGCTGCTGCTGCTGCTGCCGCTGACGTTGCTGTTGCTGTTGCTGCTGCTGTTGCTGCTGCTGTTGCTGCTGCTGTTCCTGCTGCTGTTGCTGCTGCTGCTGCGCTGCTGCTGCTGCTTGCTTATTGCTGCCGAAAGCTGCTCTGTGGCTCTCCTGAGGTGAATCTGGGCCTTCTCCTGCCTTCTTTAAGGCTTCTTGGGCTACCTCTTGGCCCGGCTGGGCCTTCGAGGGGTGAGGGAGCTGTCAGAGGAGGCATCTTGGGCCGCTCTGGGACGATCGTGGGCCGCCTCAGGGCCAAGATGCGCATGTGCGCCTCATTTCTAACAGTGTTCCACAGTGGTTGTGTCCGTCCGCGGAGGTCGGAGGAGGCGCGCGGGCTGCGCAGGCTCGCAAGGAGGCAGAAGGCACTGCGGAGCAAGCTCCCGCTGGCCAGTAGGTCCGGAGCATCCTCGTGGAGCACTCCCCGACGGGTCGCCCGTGCGAGCCGGAGCCGCTCCAAAGAAGGGAGGAGAACGAGAAGCGCAAGTCTTTTCCTGGGTGACTGGCGCGGTCCCAAAGCTCTCTACGGGATCAGAAAACAAACGGCACCACCCCACCTACGGCCCCACGGGCCGTAACGTATACCAGGACGTCTGGCGTGGGTTTCTGCATGGTATACGCTACGGCTCCCGATGGGCCGTAGCGCTACATGGAAGGCCGTAGGTGGGGTTGTGTCGTTTGTTTCTTGGCCGATCTAAAGGATCTTCCCTCGGAGGTATCCTGGAGACGGTTTTCTGGGTACCGTGGGGCGTCGCGCGGGCCTCTTGCAGCCTGGTTTAGGCCTCTTGACCTCCTGGGGCCTCTGGGGTGTCTCTCGGGGGTCCTGCTAGCGGTCTCGGGGGTCATCATGTGGCGATGGAAGCGACGTGTCAGTTCGTGCTCGCCCTCCTGGGCCCCTCTTTGGGGCCATATTGGGCTGCCTTGGAGGCCTCTTGGGCCATATTTGGACCCTCTTGAGGGCCTCCAGGGATGTCTTGGGGCAATCTTGGGGGCCTTTTGGGCCATCCTGGAGCGCCGGAAGCCCGAAAAGGCGAGAACGCCCAAATCCAGCAACATACAAAACCTCTCGGGGCCCCTTGGGGGGCCTTGTGGAGTTCTTTTCGGCCGTCTTGGGGCCTTGTTGGGCCGTCAGAAAGCCGTATTGATGACCTCTTGGACCGCCTGGAGGCGTCTCGGGCCACCGCCTCCTCCTCCTCCTCCTCCTCCTCCTCCTCCTCCTCCTCCTCCTCCTCCTCAGCATCCTCCTCTCCTCCTCCCCTCCTCCTCCTCCTCCTCCTCCTCCTCCCTCCTCCTCCTCTCCTCTCCTCCTCATCTCTCCTCCTCCTCTCCTCCTCCTCCTCCTCCTCCTCCTCCTCCTCCTCCTCCTCCTCCTCCCCCTCCTCTCATCACCCTCACAGGCGGTGCGAGACGGACCGTAGCCGGCAGAGCTCCGGAACCGGCGCCAAGGATGCCGGCCACGGGTGGGGGAGAGGCCCCGGGCGCCCCGCAGCACGCCCCTCGCGGCTGTGCCGCGCCGAGGCGATGCCCGCGCGCGGGCGCCAGCCTGGGGGCCTGCACGTGGACTTCGCGAGCCTGGGAGCTGGAGGGGAGGGGGGGGAGAGGAGAGAAGGACGCCTCGACGGGGAGTGGGCATGAGTGGGCGAGGGGAGGGGTGAGGGGGGGGGGGAGGGCTCCTCGAGGAGAGGGGGGAGGGGGGAGGGGGGGGAGGAGCAGGAAGCCTCGAGGGCGGCGGGCGAGCAGGCGGGAGCTCGCAGGGGGGGCGCTCGAGGGGCATCACAGCCGAAGTGGTGCCGGCGTGGGGGCTTCGAAGTGTTCGAAGGTCCCCCTCGTCACCCCTCGTCGTCCGAATGAACGGCCATGGCAAGTCTGGGTGGTGCTGGGGGAGGGGGAGGTGGAGAATAAAAAGGTTCCGCCGGATTTTTCACTGACGGCACCCAGGAAAGACAGATCGAGAAATCCGCTGCCCCTCAGGATCAGCCCCGCGACTCCAACGAAGGAGCCATGGGGTCCATCCGGAAGGAAAGAACTTCTGGGGCGCGCCCAAGAACCCAAAGGGGTCCAGTTCCCGCGGAAGAAGGAAACAAATCTTGGCGAGGGGTTCGAGCACGGGGGTTACCCCCGCCTCAAATTCCGGAAGAGGAATGAATTCTCAGCCGCGAGGGTGCCCGCGCGAGGGGTCCCACCCACCCCAGCGCAACCAGAGGAGGAAACGCGTGAGGGCCCAGATTGCAAGTGCAATGCAGCAACACTCTAACAGTGGTTGCGATCGGGAGTTGTGCTAGTAATAAAAGGAGTTGTACCAGGGAGTCCTACTGGGAATTGTACTACGGAGTTGGACTAGTACTAGGGAGTTGCACGGCGAGTTGCACGAATGGAATTGCACTAGGGAGTTGCACTGGGGAGTTAGTTGTACTAGGGATATGCACTAAGGAGTTGTACTAATACTAGGGGGTGCACCAGGGAGTTATACTAGTGCAACTTGTTCCAAGGAGTTGTACTAGGGCATTGTACTAGGGCATTGTACTAGGGAATTGCACTACGGAGTTGCGCCAGGGAGTTGTACTGGCACAGTGGAATCGCACTGGAGAGTTATACCCGTACTCCTTGCGCTAGGGGGGTGCGCTGGGGAGTTCTACTAGCACTGGGAAGTTGCACTAGCTGTACTTGGGAATTGCACTAGGGATTTGCACCAGTACTAGGTAGCTGTACTAGGGACTTGTACTAGGCAGGTGCACTGAGGAGTTGCAGTCGGGAGTTGTACTCTTCGGAATAGGGAGTTGCACTGGGGATTGCAGTGGAAAGTTTTGCTGGGGGCTTATACTAGCGCCCAAGTGTGCTACGTAGGGAGTCGTACTAGGGCAATAGAGAGTCCTACTCGGGAGTTGCATTGGGGAGTCGCAGTAGCACTGGGGAGTTGCGCTGCTGAGTTGCACTCGGGACTTGCACTAGCACAAAGGGACTGTACTACGGGGTTGTAGTAGGGAGTTGCGCTAGGGAGCTGCACTCGCAATGCGGCGTTTGGATGCACACTGGAAACTGCTACTCGGGAGTTGTACGACTATTAAGGAGTTCCACTAAGAATTTGCACTAGAGAGTTGTACCAGTACTACCAGGAAAATGTAATGTCTTTTTTTAACCAGTACTGAGAAATTTCACTAGGGAGTTGTACTCGGAATGTGTTATCGTACTGGGGATTTGTACTAAGAAGTTGCACTAATACTCAAGAGTTGTGCCAGGGACATGTACTAGGGAATTGTACTAGGGAGTTATACACATACTGCTTGTACTAAGGAATTTGACTAAGAAGTTTCACTCGGGAGTGGTGTTTTTACATTATACCACTAGGTTGCACTACGGAGTTGTGCTATGTTGTAGCATAACTTGAACTATTACTAGGGAGTTGCACCTGGGAGTTGTACTAGGGACTTGTACTAGCGAGTTGCACTAGCACTCAGGAATTGTATCAAAGAGTTGTACGGGTACTTTGTGCTAGAGAACTGTACCAGGGAGTTGTACTAGGGAGTTGCACCAGGGAGTTGTACTAGCACTAGGGACTTGTACTAGGGAGTTGTACTAGGGCGTACAGTTCTACCAGTTGTAATATGAAACCAGTTGCACTCGAATACTTGCACGGCAGGACAATGTGCTCTCTAGGAGCAATTGCGCGCTAGTACATGATAGTACCAGTCGTACTCGAGTACTCGTCGTACGGTAGTCGGAGGGTTCAGGGGTTCCAATGGGAACTCGCGCGCGGATGAAGGAAAGAAATCCATGCGCCGCCAGGGGTCCCGGGTTTAATGGGTCGCCGCGAAGGTTGACCCCCCGCGGAAAGAAGAAACGAAATCCAGCCACGGGGGTTTGGGGAGGTAAGGCATGAATCGCGGGGCTGATCCTTCAGGAGGGATCTCCCAACCGCGCGCTTCCCGGACAAACGGAAGAGAAGGAGAAAACGCAGAGGGGGCGCAAGCCGGCTGGAGGACTGCAGGGGGCAACCGTCGCCAGCGCACTGCGCGTGGTGCTGACGCAGGGGCGTCGAAGTGTCTGCGGGGCCCCATCCGTCCTCTCTCCTTGTCTGTGGAGGGGGCCCGAGAGCGGCTGGAGGCTCTGGAGGGCGCTCGAACACCAAGAGGGGGCCTGAGGGGGCCCCCCTCCGCCCCCGCGAAGGCGGCCTCGAGGGGAGGGGTGGCTGGTGAGGGACCTCGCCGATGCCTGGTGTGACCCAGGCGGCCCGACGGACGCAAAAAAACATCACCTGGGGGACGGGGGGGGGAGAAACAAAAACAAATCGTCTCCCTCTCCTCGCCCTGGTTGGGGGCCGGGGCGAGGCGGTTCGCCGTCCTGGACACGGATGCCCGGCAGCTCGGCCGTGTTCTGCCGCGCGAAGTCGTCCAGGAAACGGCCTCGGCGGGCAGCGGATGCCAATGACGAGAAGTCTTCGAGGACGAGGCGCGAAGAGGGGGGGAGGGGGAGGAGGAGGAGGAGGAGGAAGGATTATGAGGAGGTAGAAACGAGGAGGGAGAAGAGACAGAGGAAGATGAGGAGGGGGAAGAGACAAGCTAGGTGCCCTCGCGTCAAACCTGACATCCTACCCCTCCCTCCCATCCCTTACCATGGCGTAGATCCCCTCTCTACTCGCACAGTCGGATGTCGAGCAGGGCAATGATCCCGAAAGGGTACGCGATGCATTGTAGAGCACGGCATGGCATGGCGTAGAAGAGCACCGCAAAGCGTAGTATCAACCTAGCATTGCATTGCATGCCGTGGCATGGCACGGGAAATGACGCCAGCGCTGCAGCGGGAGCACGAGTCGAAACGAGCGGAAGCGCGGAAATGAGGCCAGCGCTGCAGCGGGAGCACGATTCGGAACGAGCGGAAGCACGGAAATGAGGCCAGCGCTGCAGCGGGAGCACGATTCGGAACGACCGGGGCCCGAAAATGAGGTTGGCGCCTCAGCGAGAGCAGCTTTTTGTTATATATATACTATAATGATAATAGTAAGAATAGTACGAATAATAATAATACTAATAATGATAATAGTAATAGTAATGATAATGATAATACCAATAATACTAACCGTCCTAATACTAATAATAATAATAACAACAACGATAAAACATAACAATCATAATAATAATAGTAATACTAATCATACGAATACTAATTATAATAATAATGATACTAATACTATTAAGTATAATAACAATACTAATAAAAGTAGTAATACTAATAATAATGATGAGGATGATCATAATAATAGTAATAATACTAATTCATACTATTAATACTAATAATAATAATGATAATAATAATAACCATACTAATAATAATGATAATAACATTAATACTAATCATAATACATAATAATAATAACAATAATATTAATAATAATAATACTAATAATAATATTGATAATACTACTACTAATAACAATAATAATAATAATAATACTAATAAAGGCCAGCGAAAGGCCAACTCTGGGGAAACCTGTGTGTAAAAAACAATACGCGAGGGGGGTCGAGCACTTTCAAGCCGTCATCAGGGGAAGAGGGAGAGTAGTACTCATATTGAGTACTTGTAAAGAGAAGGGGGGCTTCCGAGACCAGAAGGACCTGGCCACCACCTGAGGTGCCAGGTCCCCGACCGTACCGTCGGGCTTTGCCCTCTCCCCCCAAGGAAGCCAAACGTGCAGATACTGCTACCGTCGGGGCGTTGACCTAAGGAACCCTAAATAAGGAATGAGGCCCCTATTTTCCATAAGTTGACCTTCGATTTCCGATCGAAAAGGAAAACCTGAGGCAAGCTGTGAAACAATTAAGGAACACGGAGCCCCTCCCCAACGAAAAGGGTTCCTTCTGCAGGGCCCTGGCTGTACTCCAGACCTCTCCCAAGTTGCGTTCTGACCACGACTTCAGAACGAGTCCAGCCGCGGGAGCAGGCGCCACCAAGGAGGCCCCAAGGGCGGAAGCGAGGGAGAAGCAACGGGTATCGATTCCTTTTCCTCCTCTGACTGCCCCCCAACCCCTTGCGCCCCCTCCTTCCCTGACGCTGCCCCGTCCGGCAGCCGTTCCGGGCGATCTGGGCACCCCCAAAGCGCCCTCGGCGAGGCGCAGCCGCCGGAACGCATCCTGGGGCCAGACCACGGCCGAGGACCGACGAGGACGCCCGAAATCCGACATCCCCTCCCTGAGCCTCCCGCCTCCCGCGCCCCCTCGCTGCCTCCCCCCCCCCGCCCGTCTCCCCCACGAGCCTCCCCCCTCCCTTCCCCCTCCCCTCGCTGGCCGCGCTGGAGGAGGAGGAGGGGGAGGAGGAAGAGGAGGAGAGGAGGAGGAGGAGAGGGGGAGCAGGAGGAGGAGGAGGAGGAGAAGGAGGAGGAGGAGGAGGAGGAGGAGGAGGGAGGAGGAGGACGGAGGAGGAGGAGAGGAGGAGAAATGAGTATGAGGAGGAGGGGAGGAGGAGGAGGGGAGGAGGAGGGCGGAGGAGGAGGGGAGGAGGGGGCAGGGGGAGGACGAGGAGGAGGAGGAGAGGAGGAGGAGGAGGAGGAAAGGAGGAGAGGAGGAGAGGAGGCGGGAGGGAAGTAGGAGGAGATGAGGGAGGGAGGGGAGGAAGGAGGAGGAGGAGGGGAGAGGAGGAGGAGGAGGAGGAGGGATGAGGAGAGGGGGTAGGAGAGAGGAGGAGGAGGATGTAGGAGGAGGAGGAGAGAGTAGGAGGAGAGGAGGAGATGAGGAGGGAGGAGGAGGAGAGGGGAGGAGGAGGTTAGGAGAGTGAGGGGAGGAGGAGGAGGAGGAGGAGGAGAATGCGCTGCCCAAGCCGCGGCGGCGGCGGCCCTTCGCAGGCGGCGGCGTCGGCGGCGGGTGCCCGCGGTGTCGGCGAGCAGCCGGTCGCCCTCCCAGACGGCGAGGTCGGGGCAGCCCCAGCGCGCCTGGGCTTCGCGCGGCGCGGGGGGGCGAGGGGGAGCGAGGAGATGGGGGGGAGGAAGGGCGGAGGAGGGAGGCGGAGGAGGGGAAGGGAAAGGGAGAGGAGGAGAGGCCGGGGGATTGTGGAGCCCCTCCTCGTTTTCATGCGGTTGTTATCGAGTGAAACGCTCTTTCACCCTTAAGCTTTGACTGTTGTTTGTCATTGTTCTTTTCGCCGTGATCCCCTCATACTAATCTTTTCTCTCTATATCGTTCTCTAGTCTTCTCTCTTTCTCTCTCTCTCTCTCTTTTTGTCTCTCTCTCTCTCTCTCTTTGTCTATCTCCTGCACCAGACCAATGCAAGCCGATGCGATACAAATCCATTCCCAATCACCAATCAACACCCATGCCAATGCAATGCCAATGGGGGAATCCTTTCATTCGGTGGGTTTCAACAAGAATACTTTGTGGATGATGTCATTACGAATCCTTCTTCGGAGGATTTCAATAGCAATGCTTATGTGTAGGGTTTCGATAGGGATCCTCATGTGGAGGGTTTCGCTGGGAATCCTTCATGTGGGAGGATTCAATCGGAATCGTTCTTGTGGAGGGTTTCAGTAGGAGTCCGTCTGCGGAGGGAGCCATTAGGACTCGCCAGCGCAATGCCGACGCAATGCCAAAGCTTTGCCATCGCAATGCCAAACCAATGCCAAGGCGATCCCAATTCAATCCCAATGCAATGCCAATGGGGGGTATCCTTCGTGGTTGATTCCAGAAGGAATCCTACCTGTGGAGGGTTTCGATTGAAATCTTTCCGTGGGGGGGTTCAGTATGTATCTTTTATGTGGGGGGCTTTCAAAAGGATCCCTTCTTGTGGAAGGTAAGGAATCCTTCTGTGGTGGGAGCCATTCGAACTCGCCAGCGCAATGCCGAAGCAGTGCCAATGCAATGCCAAACCAATGCCAATGCAGTGCCAATGGGGGAATTGTTTGTGGTAGATTTCAATAGCAATCCTTCTAAGAACCATTCTTCGGGGGATTTCAATAGGAAATCTTCTAAGGAGGGCTTCGCATGGAACCCTTTCTGTTGAGGATTTCAATGTGAATCCTTCTTGTGGGGAGGATTCAATAGACATCCTTTTTTGTGGGGGCGTTCAATAGGAACCCTTCTGTGAAGTGTTTGAATAGGACTCGCCAGTGCAATGTCAATGCAATGCCAACGCACTGCTAACGCACTGCCATCGCAATGCCAACGCAATGCCAATGCGATGCCAAACCGTTGCCAAACCAATGCCAATGCAATGCCGATGGTGGGATTCCTGACTTCCATCAGATGTCACTAGGAATCCTTATGTGGATGATTTGGTTGCGAACCCTTCTTCGGAGGATTTTGATAGGAATCCTCCCGTGGAGGGTTTCGATTGGAAACTTTCTGTTGGGGGTTTCGCTTTGAATCTCTTCATGCGGGGGCTTTCAAGGATCCCTTCTTGTGCAAGGTTGTCATAGAAATCCTTCTGTGTGGGGGCCATTAGAACTCGCCAGCTCAATTCCAACGCAATGCCAAACCAATGCCAAAGCGATCCCAATTCAGTGCCAATGCAATGCCAATGGGGGAAATCGTTTGTGGTCGGGTTCAAAGCGAATCCTTCTACGGATGGCTTCGAATGGAATCCTTCCGTGGGGGAGTTCAATGTGCCAGCGCAATGCCAACGCAGTGCCAACGCAATGCCACACCAATGCCAAAGCGATCCCAACCCAATGTCAGTGCACTGCCAATGGGGAAAAACCTCTGGTGCTAGATTTCAATAGGAATCCTTCTGTGGAGGGTTTCGCATGGATTCCTTTTGTGTAAGGTGTCAATGTGAACCGTGTTTGTGGAGGGTTTAAATAGGAGTCCTTCTTGTAGAAGGTTTCGATCGGAGCTTTTGTGGAGGGTTCCATTCGGACTCGCCAGCGCAATGCTTGCGAAATGCAAGCGCCCTAGCAACGCACTGCACTGCCAAGCACAATGCCAACGCAATGCCAATGCGATGCCAAACCATTGCCACACCAATGCCAATGTGCAATGCCAACGGGGGTTCTTTCTTTCGAAGCATCGCAATAGGAATCATTCAGTGGAGGGTTTCGATCGGGATCCTTCTGTAGAGGACTTCGCTATGAATCCTTTTTTGCGGGGGCGTGCAGTAGGAGTCCTTCTAGGGGGGAGGGCAGATGAGGCCACGTCGCATTTCTTTGTTTGTTCGCCGCCGCCCCCCAACAAAGAAAAAGAACATAAAACAAAACAACAAAAATCACAAACAATATTTGTCCGCTTTGTTTTTCATCTTGATTTTTGTGGGGGGGGAGACAAAAAAGAGGAGGAGGAGGAGGCACAATGCAGGCGAAATGTAAGCACACTAGCAACGCACTGCCAAGCGTAATGCCAACGCAATGCCAATGCGATGCCAAACCATTGCCAAACCAATGCCAATGCAATGCCAACGGGGGGTTCTTTCTTCCGAAGCATCTCAATATCAATCCTTCTGCGGGTGATTTCAATAGGAATCCATCTGTGGATGATGTGAGTAGGAATCATTCAGTGGAGGGTTTCGATAGGAATCCTTCTGTACAGGATTTCACTATGAATCCTTCTTGTGGGGGCGTTCAATAGGAATCCTTCTAGGGGGGGGGTAGATGAGGCCACGTCGCATTCCTTCTTTTTCGCCGCCGCCCCCCCCCACCCCCCCAAAAAAACAACTGGTCCATTTGTTGTTGTTGTTGTTGTTGTTGTTGTTTTTTTGTTGGGGGGAGAAAAGAAAAAAACAAAAGGGGGAGGAGGGGGAG